GTAGCAACTTCCCATGGAGCTTCCTGCAAATCGCTTTAGCTTTTTCTCGGCCTTTAGAGTTATAGCTAATTGATAGGCCATACTAAATTGTCAGCGACAGGGTACCCAATCTTCATTAGCTATTTATAAGGAGCTCTTTTGTTTACAAGGGGATGCGATTGAATAACCGATCAATGCCTCACCTGCCTAGGTACCTACGTAGTGTAGTGTTAGTTGCCAGGATGAATAGAATTAGTATGACCTCTCACTCGGATGTTAGACTCCCGCTACGATAAGTACTGCATACTGCCATTGGAAGTTCGCATTAGCATGAACACGTGGTTTTTGTTAGTCTTATCGTCATGCGTTAAGTGCATATTTCATGCACTTGGCAAGTTTAAAAGAATCTCTAAACCCTACACTTAGGTGGAACATCCTTATTAGAAGAAAAAAGTTTTATCACCTCGGTATTTCGACAGTCAACCGAGTCGACGCCCGTTATGGCCGAGCCGACCAAGATTTCCTTTGGTCTCGTTCCCATTCTTTGTTTGAAATGACCTAGATATGTCTTCCTTAGCCACATATTTCAACAAACTCCATGATAGAGCGCCGTGATTTACGCTTACCTTAAAAAGTCATTGAAAGCCCTATCGGGAGTCTTGTCGGAGACCTTGCCTATATATAGAAATCATTTGCCTCTATCCTAGGTACGCGAACATTGTATTTTCTCTCGAATACTTGTATTCTTCCTGACTTAGATGTTGGAGTATTTTCTTTTGTAGGTCTCCTCCTCAACACGTTTCAGCTCATCTTCAAGGTCATCCTTCCATCCGCACCAAGCTCACAAGCTTGGCCATTTTTGTGATCAAACATTCATTCGGTTAAATCGAACTCGATCCAAATGGAGGTCGAAACCTGTGTTAAAGCCAGGTTCGTTGCATTTTATCTTTCGGTTAAATCGAACTCGATCCAAGTCGAAGTCGAAGCCTGTGTTAAAGCCAGGTTCGTTGCATTTTCTCATTCGGTTAAACCTGATCCAAGTCGAGGTTGAAGCTTGTGTAGATCCATTGTATTTTCTCATTCGGTTAAATCGAACCCGATCCAAGTCGA